CCCCAATATGGGCACCCGGGCATGGGGGACCGGAGCGTGGGCATGCCAAAATGAGCACCCCACTACAGGCATCCTGTCATGGGCACCTTGGCATGGGGACCACAACACGGAACACCCCAATATGGGCACCCCCAATGGGCACTCTGACATGGGCACCCCAGTATGACCACCTGGGGACAGGCAACCCTGACGCAGGCACTCTGGCACAGTCACCCCATCGTGGAGATCCCACCAAGGACACCCCAAAATAGGGCACCCCAATATGGGCACCCTGGTGTGGAGCACCACAGCAAAATCGCCTGAACACAGGCACGCTGTGACAGGCATCCTGACACGAGCACCTCATCACGGGCACCCAAACATAGGGTACCCCAACATGGGCACCCCAGCATGATCGCCCTAACACAGGTACACTAGTATGGGCACCCCAACATGGGCACCCATCACCCTGCTTGTGCCTGGGCCGGCAGCAAGGGGCAAGGACGTGCCGTGGGGCACTGGGCCTGGGAGACCCAGCACCCAAAAGTGCTGGGTACGCTCAGGCTGCCGCAGCGCCGGGTCTCGGCCGGGCACCAGGTGAAGCCTGCCCGCGTCTGCCCCCAGTTTGGGGATGGGACGGGGGAGGGAGGTGGCCCTGGAACGGGTGACACAGGGACTGGCCGGTCCAGCCACGACACCAGATGCCCCTGCAGCCCGCCACACAGCTCACTCATCACCCAACACAGGGCACCCATCACCCTAACATGGGTGACCCAAACATGGGGCACCCACTATCCAGACATGGGGTACCTGTCACCCCCACCCAGACACAGCTCACCCATCACCCAAACACTGGGTACCCATCACCCAAACGTGGAGCACCCATCACCCAAACATTGGTTACCCATTGCCCAAACAGTGGGTACCCATCACTCAAACAAACATGGGGTACCCATCACCCAGACAGTGGGTACCCATCACTCAAACACTGGGTATCCATCACACAAATGTGCGGAACCCAACACCCAAACACTGGGTACCCATCACCCAAACATTGGGTTTCCATCACCCAAACATTGGGTACCCATCACCCAAGTGTGGGGCACCCATCACCCAAAAAAACATGGGGTACCCATTATCCCCACCCAGACACAGCTCATCCATCGCCCAAACACTGGGTACGCATCACCCAAACATGGGGCAGCTGTCACCCAAACATGGGGTACCCATCACCCCCACCCATCCACAGCTCATCCGTCGCCCAAATGTGGGGCACCCATCACTCAAACACGCACATCCATCACCCCCACCCGAACATGGGACACCCATCGCCCACGCACAGGGCACCCGCCGCCT